AAAAAATCGTACCTAGGAGTTTTCAAATTCGCATTTGCTGGATCTGGTGGTGACGCTGCTGCCTGCAACAATCTCACATCAAGATGTCGTATTCGAATCGATAGGTCCAAAATAGTCATACCAAACTTGACGGGCTCGTGCTGAATTCGCTCATAAGTTCACAATAAGATGATGGCGTCGGTGAACCCGCTACTGGTCCAGCATCAGGGGTAGTCGCCATCAATATACTCATCTAAATGAAATTAATCTGGTAAGTACAAGCGGAATTTCTCGTTTTGTCCTTATAATTACAAAATGTTGTAGTGATTTATGTGAACTAAAAACAGATTTCTAGTGGGAGAAGGTATTACATTTGCATGCAAGAACAAAAGAAAACAGTGAAGGTTCCGATGGGGAAGTGATGGATGCGAGAGCACTCAAATGCCAGATTAATCGAAATAGTAGCTGCTCTCTACCCTCCATTTCTCCCCATATCACACGTCGTCACTGTAAATTTGTTCTAATTGGGCTAGTCAAATGCAATTGCAATTTATCAGCAAGCCAATCAAGCTAGTCGTCATTTTAAAAAATGAAGTGATTCAATCGTTATTAGACTACTTCAGCAAGATAGTGTAAACACATATAGTTTCTGAATAGGAGGACGTTGGTGCGGAGCTTGCTCATATGAATCAACAGTAGAAATCAGAGTTCAACGATAATTAAAGCAAAAGCAGCCAAATTGTGTGCATTAATGTTTTCTTTCGCATTTAGAGAAATGATGGAACATCAATTATTTGAAGTGCGTTAGCTGGCATCTGAGCATTGCTGTCTTTGGGTGATTCCAGGAAATTGGTACTTAACTACTTGAGCCCGGGGAGGAGGTAGGGGAGGGGTCTCGCAGAACACTCGGAACTTTATGCACTTTCACTTCCTTTCTACAGTTGTAGTATGCACTAGTAATTTCTTTGGTTAAGCATGATTCTAACTTACAGTGCTGCTCAACAATCTGGCTTTACCTCTACACAACATAAGATTGGAAGCGGTACACGGTACGTGATATAGCAAAAACGGACGTTGGGTTAATGAAAGCGACAAAGCCCCACAAAAATACAAAGGCGAAGTTGCAAGTTATTCTTCAGAGATTTTATAAAAGCGAGCAAAGTATATACCAGTATTAGTGTACGATGACGTTGAATAAGCTCCGCTGCGCCAAACAAGTTCGTTTGAAAATGAATTTGTGCAATTATTGATCGCTATCAACTAACTAAATAAAATCACGCAAGTACATATGGTTTTGAGATGAAGTAGTTGGTGCGGAACGGTTGTTCATTTAAACAATAGACGAGCATAGCGTAATAGGCGTTGAGAAAAAACAAGATTTTCTAAGCAAATTTTTTTTCTTGCAGCTAAAACAAGGAATTAAGCAACTTAATAATAAGAGGGGTACAGAGTGGCAATATATGCACTCTTCCAATCGCATTTTATAAGTAGATATCAGGTTTCATTAATAGATGCCGGGCGTAGTCAGGTTTGCCAGCTAGTTAATAAAGAAGATGACAATGCGATATGTGCTCATCATCTATGCGTCATCCGGAATAAACAATATATGTAGAGTACAGGCAAATCAAAACTGTACTGCTTGCTTGCTTTTCTCATGTCCAACATGACTATCGCCGAGGTGATTCGAAGTCATTTTTAAGTAATTTGTAAGAAAATTTAGAGGAAAAAAAACAGGACTCATACACAAGTTCTCATAGTGAAAAATACGTCAAAAAAGGAGATTATAACTTGAAAGAAAATCAGCATCAATGAAACGTGATACCAAAAAAATTAATTTGACAAGAAAAAACATACAGATCAGAAACATTGTAAGGGACAACTATGAGAAGATATGAGTTACGGAAGTATAGCAGAAGTGCTTGAAAAGTTACACATACACAAATTACGTTTGAAAGACACTCTGAAACACTGAGAATAATGCAATAATGCACACCTGATTTGGCGATTCATGCTCTTCGGGAGGTGACAAAACACGTTCCTTTGCCATTTGCGTTCGATAGGCGACTTCCAATGTGAAAGCCCCAACAGGCGTAGGAAATCGGCCGAGATCAATTCGTTTTGCTTCAGATCCAAGATCTAACTCTGATGCACCTTCTCCCAATTTATAGAGTATCACAAACGTATCACAGCTCTGTTTTTTCACATAATACCTAAAAAAACGAACAGTGGAAGTGAGGTCTCCAGCTTTTCAAGCATTATATTCATTCAAATAGCTAAGATAGCATGAGCGCTACTATCGATCGGGAGTTTCGATGTGGGTCGCTCAATATCGCAAATTTTTGATTCTAGCAAAAAGTAAACAGCACAGAATTGCTCTTTAGATTTCTTGATCTAGACTAAATTAGGAACAACTAATTCTGTGTAGGGAATCAGGTTAAGGACAGATAGCATTTTCCACAACCGCTAATATTTCAAAAATTTGAAGAAATTGTTTAAGACCAATATCTGAAACATTTGAAACAAATTCATTACATTTTAAGAAATTCAAAACCATAACTTTGAAGCTCACCTATGCAATGGCGTCATTCTTGCTGCTACCATTGCGCTTCTCAACATAACACTTAACTGTAAATAGAGCTGCGACTTTATATCATTAGCCCATGTCATTAGCTGATCTTCTTCGTCGACAGAGAACGTCCTTAAGCAAACATACATAATTCATCCAATACAGATCAAAATACATCCATTTAGAAGTATGAGATTAAAAACTAGTTTTTTTTTTGAAAAGATCAGGTTGTATTATTGATAGAAAGTTGAGCTACCAGACTCAGCATTCCTTAACTATTGTTTGCGAAAGTCTCTAATGATGTCCTTGCAGATTCGAGCAATTTCGATCTTACCGCAATTCCGATCTTTAGATCTTACTGCTGCAAAGAAGAAAATCCGACTTTGAGAACACAAAAACAACCGTTGCCTATGAATTTATTTTAAGCAACAAAAGAGTACAATATTTAGTTTAACAATTAATCATTTCGTGCAAGAAAAGGGAAAATTGAAAAGATAAAGAAGAATAGGTTACGAATATAAACATTTACCAAGTCTCCATCGGTAAAACTTCACCATCACATGTATACAGCATAAAATCAATAGATATGGCTTTGGATATGGGTGGGAAACTGTAAAATTTCACTTTAATATCTAGATTACATAGGCAAAAAATCCATTTTGCCATCACCTGCTAATGCTCCGCTTCACCTGCGCGGAAACTTCACCGAGTTCATCAATTCGAAGATTAAACCAATCCGGGCTGCTTGAGGGTAAAGTACATTCCAAATCAAACTTTTCATTTGTCCGTGATTGCACCACAACCTGAACAAGCCGAAGCAATCTAGTTTTTTCAGACTAGAACTATGTGGAATAAGTATCGCATCATTATGACATGAATTGACAGGAAGTGCAAGAGGAAGATAACTAACGCGAAAGAAACGCAGTTGCTACGTCTTCAATAACTCTTTTAAAAACTAAACTTAGGCTCTTAGAAGTTTGATTGGAATAAAAAAAGTTTTTTTTGGATAAATAATGAAATCAGCACAATTGTTTGATCCAAAAAATTGCGTTAAAAAACTATGCTCTTGTATCAAGAATGCAAAGCAATGTTTAGAATATTGAAACTAAACTCTATAAGATCGTATGAATATTCTTCATATAATATTTAGATTTTCTTACTTGGAAAGCCTCGCATTATAATTTACCTGAACAAGTTGACTCTTTTGCTTCCTACTGGAACATTCTGTCCCATCATTCTAAAAAAGACGAAACGAATGTGCTTTCGTTGATCTTTACCTACTCAAGAAACTGTACAGAACTCACTTGATAGCAATCTCGCTTTGGATCTTATTTTTAGACTTGGGCGGTGCTCAAATCACCTCAACTTTTTATATGAATGAAAACACGTTTGTAGACCGAGAAGCCTTTTGAACAGGTGCTATAAAAAATACCCCTATTTTTTCTAAGCGCTAATCGGAAAAGCAAACTTCTAAAAAAAGCATTGATACGAATCTTGCAATGTGAACTGGAGGAACTCCATTACAACAAAAGACAACTTTTCTCAGAACCAAAAAAGGAAGATTGAAAAATGTTCAATTCAAACATAACTTTTTTCAGTGTGTTCCACTGCTATAGTTTACACTCGACTGTGGATGGCAAGGACTTACACTTCTGCAAGATCCGAAGAACAAAGAAATTCACATGAAGCATCAAGGAACAAGTGCATATGAGAAGGAAATGAGTTAGCAAAACTGCACCGCAGCAAATTCAAAACCCTACTGAACTAGGTTTTAACATGCGATTTTTTAAAAGTTTTCTTAACTTGACATTGTTACGTTTAATCAGCATCTGAGCCAACGTTAAAAACAGTATAGTAAGTTTCTGTCCAGAGTTTTCTTATACGTCATGCTTCATCACTTTCTAAACAAATCGTCAATGAACTATTCACACAAAACAAAGCA